CCCTAAGCCCACCACGGTCTCGTTCCTGCGCCGGCGGCATCGGTGGGGAACTCTCATTTTCAGCAGGGACTCCGCCCTTCTTTTTGTTCTCCGATCAAGCCCACATTCTTCTTGCCGCGCTTCCGTCGGGTACTTTAATCCTCGCGAACTCTCATTTTGTTTTCTCGCCGTAGTTATCTGAAATCGACGTTGCGGTTCTAATCTTATGCTGGTTGTTGTGTTGTGTGGCATATTGTGGTAAATTTTGTTGTGTTTATGTTCTTGATTGATGACCATCTGCTGTGTTAATCCGAGGATAGTGGGATAGAAAAGGGAAATGGTTTGATGCCTGTGATTGGGGAGATGAATAACATAGCGTCAACGCGGAGAGCGTGAATTGTTGATTACGAGCTCAATTTCATTCTAAAAGTTGTAGCTTGTGCCTTCCAGTAAAATTTGGTCCGTGATTTAGGGCATAGACACTGAACTGTCAAGATATCTTAGGTCTAAATACTATGCAATTCATTCTTTCAACCCAGTTGTTTACTATTGCTGACATGCTTATTCCCTATTAATTGTAGCAGTCACAGATATCCCCTAATATCATAGCTCCAAGTTAAATAGATATTCAATTTGTGTTCTGCGTGGCTGTTGGTGTCATTTTTAGGCTTCTTCTGTCCTTTTAAGTGGGCAGCCATGGTTATTCAATATTTTGGAAGCAGTGCGCTCCCAAAACTGTAGCAGGTAGACTGTCATTGTAATGTAATATTGGTGGAAGTTACAATTGCGCTAGCATTCCTCTATCATTTGGTCGGCAACCAATGGTTGAAAGTCTTAGAGGAGAAGATCTTGTATTTATTCCCTAATTATAATGGTTAGAAATGCTTGTATTGTCGTAGCTGCAAGGAATGGTGAACTTGGATTCAGCTTATATGTTAAGTCACTCTTTAGTTTAAGTGATTCATCACGAGGAGGTATGGTTTCGGTTGGTTCAGTCACAAGTCACAACAAGCTGAAGGAACTGTTCTCAGCATTCCTTAACACCAATATTTTACTGTATTGAATGTTGAAATTAGGTTTTCAACAATTATGTTCTATTAGCTGAAACAAATATGTCGGTGCAGTTGCTAAATTTCTGATGCAATAAGCAGTATGGATTTGGCCCAACATGATGTTAGACTGGATTGGGATGATTAAGTTGTCCAAAGTTTGGTGAACTTGTAGCCTTGATTTCCCATGGATGCTTCGGGTGAGTGCCCAGTTCAAATAAGTGAATTGAACTAGACTTTTAAGTCTGGTTTGGTTCAATAACACTGTTTTTTACCCTCAAAAGCCACCCTTCGCGCTCGTGCGTTCCCGAGCCAACCCTAGCGTTGTTTCTACCTCCACCATTGACGTTTTCTGTTACTGCCTCCACCGCAGACGCAACGAACCGAGTCTTCCTATGTCGTCGATGGACAAGTCCGACGACCTAGCAAGAGCCCATAGCTTCCTTCCGTTGTCGCTCCATGTGAAGTTCCTTCCACTATCGAGGGAGAGGATCGTAGGTTCTTTCGCCACCAGCAAACGCTCTCTGGAGCTTCCGTCGCTACCATTGTTGTTGTCATTCGCAGCACTACTGTAGCTGTCTTAAACTAACCCTCCATCGCTGCTGCTACCAGCTTCTCACCATTACCATCTTATCGTTATTATTGTCACTTTTTTTTAGTTTCCACTGTTAGTGACTCTTTTATCCCCCCCCTCTGTTATTGTTAACAATTCTCTTCTCCCCCTCTAACTACTATTAACAGTAAGTAATATACTGTTAACAATATATTTTTAATTTAATATCATATTTAATTTAAATAAATATATTTTTAATTATATTATATATTTTTATATTTTAATATTTTAGAGCGTCTCGCTTCGTTCGGACGAGTGTTTAGTGCCTCGAGCGTTTTGGGACATTGACGTTTCTTGATACCTAGTGCTTTTTAAATCATTATCATATTTTATTAAAGGTTTAAGACTTGGCCCAAAATAAGTCATGATTTGTTGGTCCCCGAATGTGCTATTACTATTAGGTAGCTTGTAACCTTCCTGTCGTGTGTGTGCAAGAGAGCATGGAATGCGCCAGCAGTGAGGTATCATAATCCAGCTAGAGAATTCAAGATTCACTTAGTTTTATTGATGATAAGGGTAAAACACATTGCACCCTACTGATTTTACTGATCTCTGTCTTGCTTGTCAACACATTGCAGGTTATCATATTACAGGTCCTTCAATTAGAGGCCCGAAGCTTATGTTTTTGCTGGGTAAAACGAGTGTTGCAGTTCAGGCAAATGGCATTCTCGCTCTATTGCTTGGGAGAATAATGAACAGCCACTGAAATTCTCAAGTGCCACACATGAATAAACAATGCAACTTTTGAGCACAACCAAACCAGTCACTAATGCATATGGTGGTCCAATAGGAGATTCCTCATCTGAAATTTTTGGTGCAGAGAAAGCAGGCAGAAGAAACCAACGGGACTTGATATGTGGTATTAGAGGGTCGAAGGTGATTGCTGATGATGCTGATATGTCACCACCACCGCTACATAAAGAATGAGGATTAGGTTGCTCGCCTCTCTCGGTTCTACCTTCCACCACTCATCTCACTCTTTAATAAACTCTCCCTGCCACTAGTTCGGCCTGTGGCAAACAGTTCTGGCCTTTGTTTGGCATGTCCAATGCCTTTGATTTGGACATAGGTGATCCAAATTTGAGTCTGAACAATTCTCTTTTCCTGCACAAGGTTATGGACATTGATCATTGTCACATCGTGCATCAGTGGAAGTCTCGTTCACCGAAATTTTCCTTTATATCAAATTTATACCTTGAGAAGTCGCACCAGGATCAAATTATTATGGCAATCTCAGTTATAGTGATTTATCCTTTTCTGAGCCAAGTATGGAGCGATGGTACCAATGCTGCTTTAGTTGATCGAAACCTGATGTAGTCCCATCAAGAATATGTTGAGCCCACCATGAAATAAATGTCTGAAACAGAACACCACAAAACCTTGGTGTTAAGCTTTTATTTGGGAAAGGAGGAGATGTGTCTTGATTTGATGGTTAGCGGAGACAGCTACAGATACCACACCTCACATGGAGGAGGAAGGTCACCGACATGTGAACAGAGATCATGTTCAACATAGAGTCAACGGATTCACGCACATGATAAAGCCAAAGAGTCGATGCAAAGATTAGTCCGTCATTATTATTGGACAGAACAAGATTAATCCGCACAAGCACATAAAAAACATTCGTGTGTATAGTAATTCTATTTTATATTGAATAAAAATAGAAAATTATTACGGTGAGAGCAGGCGAACATTACGAAGCTTTTGCTAGCGTGCAGGAGGACGACGGCGGAAGCGCGTCAAGGGAGATGAACGAGAAGTGCAGCAAGAAGCTCCCATTTGAGTACCTTCCCCTCACGGCAGCAGTAAGACGACGACGGAGTCCAACCGAGGGGCGAGGCGGTAAGCAAGTGGAGATTCCATCGATGGCGATCTCATCCATAGCATTTTGTATTTGGTGAGCGCATGTGGACGGTTCGGTTCACGTGACACGGTTTCCCGTGAAGTGACCCTTCAATTTTGGCTGCCGCGGATCCCGTGCCCCACCCGCCTGTCGAAATAAACCACGTCTATCTACGTAGCACGTGATTACCTGCAGCTAAACCCTCCATTAACATACACCAAAGTTACCCCTACAGCTAAACACTCCATTAACATACATCAAAGCTACCCATGCACGTTGTTCATGCACCCCTGAGGTAATGCCTCCACGTTGCAAGATTCCCCGTGGCACGTGGCCTGCGGCTTTAAACCCCCCCCCCTACCCCATCTACTCCCCAGCTGGCTTATCAATAACCTAATGCAATCGCAGTATAAAGCCGCCAATGATTGATCCACACCGCTAAACCGCGTCGTCGAGTACCAAGACACGGTCTCCACCACGACCCAAACATTGTTCGTTGACACATCAGACTTGTTTCCGATTCGGTTCGAGCTTGATGTCAGAACCTTATTCCGATTCAGGTCCGACCGGTCGGATCCAGTGGCTGAGTCTCCTCCACGTCATCTCTCGCTCCCACTGCGTCGAAATCGACGGCCCAGCGAACGCACCCCTCATTGGAGAATTCCTCCGGACCAAAAGGACGACGGTAGCCCTCTCACGCGGAGACGATGGCTTCCGGTCACGAGGGTAATTTCGTCAAGTGATGTGAGGGCCCGATCACGGGACGGATTGCGATACACGCACCGTACGAAAGAGTTTGCATCCAATATTAGCTTTTGCTAAACGACGATTTCGATTTACTGTCCAAATGCAGGGAATATAAATTGAAACCTTCGCATTAACCCCAACCACTAAAAAAACGTTTTATAATTATTATATTAAATAAGGAAATTAGAGAAAAACATCCATTCACGAATTCCCTCCTTCGATTACCGGTTCACAAATAATTGCAAGTCTTATCCTAACCGTTACAAACAAATGTTGTATATGATTATTTATCTTTAGTATCGTTTCCCTTTCAGCTCTCTGGGAACACTAAAAGCGGTTCAAGTTTAAACCCGACCAAAAGCCGTCAATGTTAGCTTAGCTGCCACGGAGTGGGACCCGCATGGTTTCAACGCCAGTGGCAATCACTATGCAGGTAGGTCCACGGGTAACTCGAGAATGGGGTCCGCAAGGCATAGTTACCGGAAGAAACGCGGTGATGTCACGTTTCTGACCAAGCTTTTGAGTCGTCTTTAACGCACAAAACCGTGGGAAGTCGCTTGCTTTGTCCGTCGCCGTACGATCCCCAGAGGTGGACACGTGGAGGAGATCGGAGCGGATGGGAGAGGAGGGGGATGGTTGGTCCTGGTTGGGTTGGCCGACCGGGCACTGGCGGTGGCGCCGACGGGAGCGTTACCGGAAGCGCCGGTTGTCAGGGTCAAAGGTATAACCGCGGGGTTTAAGCGAAATGAGACGTAAAAGGGTTCTGCCCGTCGATAAAAGCAGAGAGAGAGAGAGACAGAGAGGGCGAGGGGGTTCGTTTCTTTCGTTTCGCAAGAGCGATTCTTCGGAAGAATTTAAGGGATCGACGAAGAGAGATTTGGATGCGAATTGCGATTGAAATCTGGAGCTGGGCATCTCGAGAGTCTCCGATCTCGTTTCCGCTCTAATTCGAACGGGAATTTTGGCGCTTTCCCGGTGATCCGATGGCAAATTGAGATCTTCACGAGGAGATAGTCCCACTTGCTGTTTCGGAAGGTGAGCAGACGGAGTTCTGTTCCATTTCGCGGCATGATTCTTCTGTTGGTGTCGGAAGCTACGATTTTTGTCCATTTTGTATCTCCAAAATCGTGAAATTTGCCTGGTTTACGCCCTTCCATACCAAATTCCTTCAGTTTCTCCCTGGTTGCCTCGTGAGGGAAGCGATCCGGATGTCGATGAAAAGTTTTGGCGTTTCTCGTTTGAATTCGGTGGAACTCGATCGCGATCCGATCTTCGCCTGCGCAATTCATCTCGAGCACACAGATTTACTTCGATCTCGTTGCGTTTCTTTTCTTCTTGGATCTGGAACACGAATTCGTTGAGCCTTTCGCATCCCCTTGCTTGTGGCTTTTGTCTTGATCGCTTCGTTCCAGGTTTTCGTTATTTTTTTAAAGATTATCCTTCCTTGAGATGGGAAAAATACTTCGTAATTTTTAATCATAAATCTTTTTCTTTTTTTTGGTTCTGCTCGATTGTAATTCAGGAAGATGCCTGCTATTATTATTTTTGATGTCGGTATAAATTACTCGCTGGATGGCGGTGTGAGAGGTTTTGGGTTTCCGATGCCTGCAAGCTATGGCACATCTTTGATATTGCGTGATGATGCTAAGCAGATGTAGCTCGCGGTTTCCTTTTTGATCTCTCGTAACTCCCCAAGCAATTCCCTCCTCCGGTAACTCCAAAAATGGGGGCATTTGGTCGAAGGGTTGGTTGGAGATGTAGCTTTCCTGGGTTATTCGATTCAGATCGAGAGGTAATCGGGGATTTTGATTTCCTGCAGAAAAACGTGTATTTGCAGCATCTTTCGTGGAAAACATCTGCGGGAAATTTCTACTCTTGTTTCTTGAATTCGCCGATGTTTGGCAATTCCTCTTGATCCGAATCATGGATTTTGCATGATCGACCTTTCGTCGAGGCCTTGCTGCCTGCTTTTTCTGAATTGACGGCAGATTGTGAACTCAGTGTTGCTTCTCTTTTGCAGTTGGTGAGTTTCATCCTGTCCTTTGTGTTTGGGATATGGTGTTGCAGAAGAGGTTGGATTATGCATGCGGTGGCTACCGGGCCCCTGCGATGCCGCATTTACCGAGATCAGCTAGGGTAAATTTGTTGCCCCAATTTGCTCTTTTAGTTCTTGGTTGGCATTTGGGCTCTGTGCAACTCATCATGGTACATCTGTAGGGAAAGCGATCCGCAAGAAAGAAGGTCGAGGATAACCAGACGTATGCATTCGACTTGCTTGCCACCATTGCAGGCAAATTGTTGTCAGAAATTAAAAGCTCTCCGTCTCCTTGTAACAGTACTGGAACGTCTAACGCTGCTGCAGGAAGGGATGCTGCTAAACAAGAGCAAATAGATGAAGAGAAGTCACTGAAATGTGAAGGTTTTGATTGGCTAAGCTGTAATGAGGCTGTGTTCAGTCCTGAAAATGCCCTTGAAAAACATATCACATATAAGTTGAAGGAGAACTCAAATGTCCCGAAAGATTCATCATCGGGACCTGCTTCTCCTTTCATAAAATCTGATTTATCAGATGAGGATGCTATTGGAGGTGATGGTAGTAGAATTGAACATGGTGTTGGTGCTGCTGCTGAAAAATGTATCAAGGGTAGTCTTTCTTCTAGTTCTGTGGAATCATATGACCGTAAAGAAGATGGGGGCAAGAAATTACTAGTAGCTGAGCAACAGGTGGCTGGAAATTTCATGGACAGGAATGCTCCATATAAGTATAGTTTGGATGATCCGTTGGTTATGGATGTCAAACCTTCTTTGGTTAGCTCTGACAGCAGTGTTGAAGCTCCCCTGTACAGGAACAATATTTCTCGTAATTATTCCTTTCCGAAGCAGGAAGATGGTATGGATCTTGCTGCAGATAAAGATGATGACGAAAATTCTTCTGGATGCACTCACCCTACTCCCGTTGCTAATAAAACCTCTAGGATGCCGCGTATAGGTGATCGTAGGATAAGGAAGCTTATGTCATCTAAACTCCGGAAAGTAGCTCCAACAGTGTTGCAGGATGCTGGGACATCTAACTACGGTACGTGTGATGTTTTCCTCTTGTGCTTGGTGACATGACAGGTAGTAAGCTCTCACATCTACATTCAGCAAGCTGAATTCCCTTTTTCATTTCAGATGTAGAACAGAAGCCGGCTTTAAGAGGCAAAAGAATGTGTTATACTCGCCAAAGAACTCAGAGGAGCTCCTTCAAGAGAAGGAAGTTGTTTGATCATTGCCCGGTATCACCTTATGATGGAGGGATATATGGTGAAGGCCTGTCAAAAATGTCTGAAAGTAGCAGGATCAAGTTAGAAACAGACGATTCACATGCCACTTTGTGTGGAGGTTTGTTATATATATATATGCTACTGACATGCTACATGCACCAGTTTGGGTACCTCTGAATTTTGAGATGATTCATTTTTTTACGTTTACAGCAAATGGTGCATCGTCATTCACGACAGGACAAAATTGTTGCTATGAATCGCCAGACTACCATGGTAAATAGTTGGATTATATGTTGTTTTTCATTTTGATCCCGACATGATGATCAGGTCCTAATGGGTGCTATCTTGTCTCTCTTTTTTTGCTCCAGTGAAACTCAGCATCAAGTCTTTTAAGGTGCCTGAACTTGTTATTGAGATTCCTGAAACTGCTACGGTTGGTTCCCTGAAGGTATACAATATTCTTGTACTCCTGTCATAACACTGTCATTGTGCATTTCTTCAATGTTATTATTAGATTTCTTTTGACAACCATGGACTGTATTATGATATATAGATTCGTACTTTGATGATTGACTGTAGTAAAAGTCACAAAAGGATGCGGTAATTAGCTACAAGTTTCTGATAACATGTACCTGATTTAGTTTACAGAAAAAGAAAGAATTTTCAATGTGTTCAGTTTTAGATTTTGAATCGGACTTGAGAATCATCAATCATGGAAAATAATTTTCCATTTACTTCAATTAAGCAGACTACTCAGTCGAACAACATTTTCTTTTCCAGAACATTGTGTTTTAACTCTGGTTTACGTCTTCTTGCAATTACTATGCAGAGGACAGTATTGGAAGCTGTTACTGCTATCCTTGGAGGTCGACCCCGTGTTGGTGTTCTTCAAGAAGGAAAGAAGGTTAGAGATGACAACAAGACCCTGCGCCAGGCTGGGATTACCTATGGTGATAAACTGGATAATCTAAGTTTTACAATGGAGCCAAATCCCGAAGAAGCTCTCGTTCCACCACCTAGTTCCGAAGATCCTGATTTCCTTGGTCTTGCTTGTGCGCCTGAACCACTTGCTAGGTAATTAAATTTTGCATTTTTTTTTCATTAGAAATGCATTTTGTTCAAATCTTCTTCCCTTATGGTTGTGAATTCTGGTAGCATGCATTTTTGTGCTCATTGTTATTCAAGTAATTTATATGAAATGTCCTATAATAAGACCAATTTTTATGGCACATACAATTCAACCCCCTTAGTTTAGTAAAACGAGAAAGAATGAACTTTTACTGGGGCGGTGATCTGCTTTCTTTGCCGTGTAGTAATCGTCATAGCTACTTGTTCCAACCAAATAAGCTAATATACTGTGAACATTTTGTAGGATGCCGCCAATTGCCCCTGCTGCTGCTGCTGCTGTAGATCAGAGGGGACCTGACTCCGCGGAATCTGTACAGACCTGCCCCGAGATGGATCACGATTCATTTCACTCTCCGATTGATCCATCATCGCCGGAGAAAACAACAGCAAGTGCACTAGCTCTGGTTGCTGTACCACCCATGGATGTCGAGGCACTGGCCATGGTTCCACTCGGCAACAAGCCCAAGCGGTCTGAAACTCCTCAGCGCCGGGTTCGGAGGCCCTTCTCCGTCGCCGAAGTAGAAGCCCTTGTTCTGGCCGTCGAAAACCTCGGCACCGGAAGGTGTGCATCGCTTCTGCTACACGCTGACATGACTAAATAGATCACTTTCTTATTGCTGTGTGTGTATCGATTTCTTCAGGTGGCGGGACGTCAAACTCCGGGCCTTCGAGAACGCAAAGCACCGGACTTACGTCGATCTTAAGGTAATCAATCAAACGTGTTCTTATCTCGATTGGTTACCCATGACAATATTAGGCCAACGTCTGCGTGCATGATGTGAGTGTTGTTGCTAGGAAGGATAGCCAACCGCTGGTTCTTTTTGACTTCAACGTTTTGACTGCACATCCTTGTCTGTTCTTTACATCCTTATCTGTTATTTTGGGTCGGTGGACCGTGGTAGGAAAGTTAGCTATATCCACACGGTTGGTGCTGCCCTCACGCGATTGGCTTGTGATAATACGTCTGACTTAGGCTAAGATGGACTGGAGTTGTTTAATGCAGGATAGAGACAAACCAGGTTGTAGTTTTAATTCTAGCAGTGGGACGAACCGCCTCGTGTCCAACATGCATGATTCCATGGGCAGTGAATTTAAATTAGTCGGGTGGGCAGCGTATCGTGCCATGTGCCAATCGTGGTGAAATGTTTCGTTTCTTGTTGTCGTGCGCAGGACAAGTGGAAGACGCTGGTGCACACGGCAAGGATCTCCCCGCAGCAGAGGAGGGGAGAACCGGTCCCTCAAGAGCTCTTGGACCGGGTCCTCTCCGCCCACTCCTCCTGGTCACAGAAGCAAGCCAAGCTCCTGCTGAAGCCACCTGCTCCTCTCTGTTAACAAGCCAATGACCGACCCATGTAAAGATAGATCCATCCCCCCACAAACACTAAAAGACACGCCCAAAGTGAAAAAAGGTAGCTGACGAAAACTGTGTATTATTTATTCGCTCACACCATTATTCTTTGGAGCCAGCAGGGAGTTCTTCTCCTTGAGAATTGACGAGGACGAGAGCTTTCTGTGGCCATTTGTACATGACGATCGATGTTTCCTCCGAAACAACCGGGATTGGGTGGGAAAAGAAAGCAGATTCGTATGTGATCGCAACCGGTGACATCTCTCACACGTTTAACTCGATTCTTTTGGTGGAGTTATGGGAAACAGATGCCAACAATACATAGCTGTCTAAGTTAGATGTCTTTATGCTACTACATTTCTTTTCCTTTTTTTTTTATGCTGTATTGGTTACTCTGAAACATTTATTTCATGTAACATATGATCCCATTTGATCCTGCAAATATGTAAGTGAACCATTCACTTTCTACTCTGTCATCCATCAAAGTCCAATGGGCCTCATCTTGGTGCGTCAAAAGCTAAACTGGGTTCTCGGGCTTCCGGTTCGAACCGGAATCAAATCGAACTAAACGATCGAATTAATGCTATTACAATTCGAAATAGGAACCACAATAGTCGGTTTGTAAATCAAAAAAATCGAGACGGTCGATTTCTGAACCTCAATTTTCCGTCTCTGAATTCGAATTCGATGGAACCATTCCGAGAAGAGGACGGAGGAGGAGTGCGGCCGAGCCCATGAGTCACGTGCGTGCATGCTTGCCTGACGTCCCATCATCAATCGAGATGAGCCGTCCGCTTTCCCCCATGTCTTTTCAATAATAATAATAATAAAGGTTAAATATAAGGGTAAATTAAGTCTAACCAACCTAAATAATAAAGAAAGATAAATAGGGGTGTGGATATTACTGCAATCGATCATTAAAGAACGGAAAGAGGGCAACGAGATGTGACATGCTACTGCGCAACCACATGCGGAAAAGAAGCAGCGATGGCCTAATCCTAATTGTTCGAAGGTGTGCTTTTGATATGCATCGTTGAGATTTTAATATTATGTAAATATTAGAACAATTGGAAATGGATCAAATCTTTTATGTAGCTCGCCAGCAATATGATGCACTTTCTGCCATTAACGGTGCAGGGATGGTTCACTCACATGATGCCCCTGTGCGCATAAATGGCAGAGAGAGAGAGAGAGACAGAGACAGAGACAGAGAGAGCTCATTCATCAGCTGCATGCGTGTCCCGTCTCCCCCATGTGGTAGAGGAGATGTCTTGTGGAAGCGAGGATGGACAGCCGAAAGCACACCATTATTTTAAGGAGAGATGTTGTGCAGGGAGATAAGGAAGCACATGGATTTGGGACGTATGCAGCAGAGCAAGGAGGGGACAGCCAGATTATTCCCCCCACATGGAGGACGACGACGACGAGGAAGACGAAGATGATGATGATGATGATGTGGTGGTTGTGATGTGACTCGTTTTCGAGTAGCTTTTAGGTTGTATGAACACTATTCATCAGTTATCTCTCTCCAATCTCAACGTCAAACTCTCAGGATCGGAGCAAACTTGGCTTGGATGTGGGCGGATGGGAGATCACATGCACACACGTCTCTACCGATCGTTTTAGATGGGGGGTAAATTACTTCGCTAGTCTGTGTCTCAATCCGCCCTCTAAATCTTGATAGATACTTACATTCGCATGTAGATATCTACTAGAAAATTATTCTTTTAGTCAATTTAGATAACTAATTACATTTAGATTATTATATTTATCAAAGTGAAACATTAAGATCCGATTTCAAAAGTAATTTTATAAGATTAAAAAAAAAAATTGTTAGAACAACGAGATTAAATGTTTAACTTTTATAAGTATAGAGATTTCAATGTAATTTTTAAACATATAGAGATTACGATGTTAAAGATAACTAATTATATTAGATAATATATAATTATTCTTAATTTAAAATATTATTATTGTTTGATAGTGATATAAGTCTCTTTTCGATGTCAAGTTCAGTTCAAATGAAGTACCGATTCCTTGGTTTCTTGTTAGGATGATATAACTTGTTCCAAACGCGAATGACTCTTCTTAAGTTCGAGAATACTAAAAAATGTAAATAGTAATATTTAGTATTTGAATGAATGAATGGATGTGGGTTGGATTAGAAATAAATAGGCAATTTGCAACTTTCGGGAATGTCTTCCCCATCTCCTCTCTCTCTCTTTCTCGTATTAGATTGAATTGCTATTACGATATAATCATCTCCCGTATTAGATTGAATTACTACTATGATATGGTCATCGATGGAGTAAGACTAATCGATTTGATGATAGTCTAACCCTAATTCTAGTGAGGTCGGGTTAAGGCTAACCGTTGTTGTTCTCTATGTAGAGATCGGGGTCTTCGGTTCAACCATCACCGGCCACCTGTAGTTCGCCAATGTGGTGTGTTTCCTTGAGCACATGCCAACAATGGATGAACACAGCCGACCATTAGAGGTGGGTACTATTAATTCTTCTCATCATTTAGTTTCATACATCAGCAATAATTGAGGCTTATCAATTGTTCCATATCACCATTATTCGTAACAGAGAGTCCAACGAGTGGTACTATTGATCCCATCATCCGAATCCGACATGAGATTAGCGGGTTCGGGTCTTAGTGAGATCTAAAATTATTGTCTTCGAGGTTGTAGTTAAATGTTCGAAATGGTTACGTATTTCCTGCGATCATATAATATCAAATCTGAAAAATACGAGGTAATGCTAGGCTAAGTCAATTCACATGAAACTGACTTAGCGGAGCTGAATCGATTGCCCTATTTTTCAAATAACTATAAGTTATCGGTCATTTGATGGTGAGATGTCAATCGTATGACGATGAGTTATCGATCACATGATAATGAGATGTTAATCGCATGATGATGAATTATCGATCACATTAATGAGATATCAATATTTATCCATGTGTCATCATTTTCGTATTTAAGTATATACAAGATAAAACCCTAATAGATGCACACAAAGAAAGGAAAAAAAAAAAAGGTTCACATATTGTATTTGAAAATTACATCCTATGAAATCAAAAAATAATGAAGGAACAAAACAACACACAAAGAAGGTTCGCGAATTATTTCTCGATAATTGTGCACATAATTCGTTTCTTAGATGAGGATCCTAACTATAATTTGAGATGTGAAGCACCTCAAACGAACGAGCTTAAAAGAGAGAATGGATGAGGGGACCTTCTTCTCACATTAAAATCATAACGTATTTAAGTAGGGAATTAGGACGAAGTAGAAAAATAATATGTAAATAAGTGAATGACTAATTTTATCGTATAAAAATATACCTTTTATAGTGTGGGAATAATAATTAAGCCAATATCTGGAAATTGTGATTGGAGCTAAGTGGAGAATTAAGTGAAGGCGATGCATTGCGATTAGTGATAATGAATAAGCTGTCACTTTCTACGTCTCTATAAAACCAACTAATTATATATATATATATATATATATATATATATATATAACTTCTTATTATTATTAGACGTATGATATGTAAAATATATATGGTTGACGTAGCACAATAGTATGTTAATCCATCACAATTGTCATTCATTCATACGACTACATGTTGCATTTCAGAGTATCCTCTCTTTTAGTGAGACGAAGGCGTCCAAGTATTACTCTTTTGATAGTTTAATCTTTTTTTCTTATAACACTCACCTTTTAGTTTTTCATTTGATGTATTTTTTTCTTCTAATATCATAAAATACCTTTTATCATTATTTTCTATAAGACCATATCATTATCCAATGATAACAAGGTAAGGAACGAGAAAGGAGGCAGGGAGATAGAAGAAGACGAGAGGCTGTTGGCATCACAGACGATAGCAAGGAGAAGAATCATGATTAAAAAAAAAAATGATCGATCGACGATAAAGAGAATAGTTAACGCTAGAACAGCGACTTCATGAGAGCCAGACTAGAAACCCATATGAAAAAGACTTATGGCAAAGCAAAGATAATAAGACGGAGACAGACAAAACAAAGACGATATGTAGGTGGCAAGACGAAGATAATTAGATGACAAGGGATATTTAGGATATTAAAAAAATATAATAAGAAAAACTGAAAACTTGGACACTTCACGAAAAAAAGACCCAAAAGAAAAAAAAAAAAAAAAAAGGTTGGGGGGTGTGTGCTGAGCCGGTACGGGGTTAAACCCGGCTTGGGCGGGTCGGTCCAAAGCAACGGATCTAAGATAGATTGCTCCTCTTTTGTTCCCAGCAGATGAGGGTGGCCCCCACGGCTCCACTGCAACTGTGGTGTTTCGCTGCTCCGTTCCTTTCTCCTCTACTCGCCTTGTTCTCTTCCCCTTCGCCACCCATCACTTGCTTGGTTCCACATCTCTGCTACAGTCCAAGCGGTACAGTCTTCGCATTGCCATTGCCATTGCCATTGCCGTTGCCGTTGCCAAGCAGCAATAGGAGAGTAGCAGTATCTACCTCACCAGCTACCCTCCAAACTTTGTGCTCTCTCTCTCTCTCTCTCTCTCCTCTGTCGTGCTTCTTCTACTCTCTCTTGTTTACTTCGCCATAAGAGAAGGGGCATTGATACCTTCTCACTCACTCACTGCTCTGCTATTATTACTCCTCCTCCTCAGTCTTCACACTCACCTCACCTCACCTCACTAGCTTTTAAATAGCCCACCGTCCTCCCCATTCTCTCCTGCCACACTCATTCATTTCACCCTCCCCTTGGCCTCTCTCTCTCTCTCTCACCCTTCACACATGGCATTCCGCCACGCCCTGGCCGTAACAGTCGCCCTCGTCCTCGCTTCCTCCGCGCTGCTGGCCGACGCCCGCATCCCCGGCGTCTACACCGGCGGCCCCTGGCAGACCGCCCACGCCACCTTCTACGGCGGCAGCGACGCCTCCGGAACCATGGGTACGCCCCTTCTCGCCTCCCTCCCCTCGCCACCCACCTCCATTTTGCCTGTTTGACTCCGTCGCTGGTTGCAGGAGGGGCGTGTGGGTATGGGAACCTCTACAGCCAGGGGTACGGCGTCGAGACGGCGGCGCTGAGCACTGCGCTGTACAACGACGGGCTGAGATGCGGGGCCTGCTTCGAGATCAAGTGCGCGGACGACCCCCGGTGGTGCAAAGGCGGCAACCCCTCCATCTTCATCACCGCCACCAACTTCTGCCCCCCCAACTACGCCCTCCCCTCCGACAACGGCGGCTGGTGCAACCCGCCCCGCCCCCACTTCGACCTCGCCATGCCCATGTTCCTCAAGATCGCCGAGTACCGCGCCGGCATCGTCCCCGTCTCCTTCCGCAGGTACCTACGCCTCTTCCTCTCCCATCGTAGATCCCAACAATCACATCACCCCCTTTCAACCAGTAGTAATCCATAGTTAACGTCTTCGTTTTCTTCCCCACCACTAGTTGGACTGTCATTCTCAG